AATATTAATCTAGTGTATATATCATTAGAAAGGTTTTTGTATATGGAATGTAAGGCAGCATAGAAGGTGGCATTTTTTATTGTGCGTACCTGGATTTAACTGCTACCACGAACCCTATCTGCATTACAATATACTTGTTCTCCCACTATTAATTTTTTTAACATAGTAAATGTCTATTAAACGATTTCAATTAAAATATAAGCATTTACAGAGACAGTACAGACAATTGCAGTTTGTCACAGAAGTTCGACAATCATTTATATACACAACAGTTGAGAAAGGACTTCAACAATCTTGTTAGTGTGAAAAATGTGGTCCAGTAAAGATCCAAACTAAATAATGATTCCTATGGATGTAAGTAGGTATATTTGGATATCCTGTGATCTAAAAGGATCGTGTAAGCATGTAACACTGTGATGCTGATCCCCTGGAGAGAGTTTCATGTTGGAAAAGATAGAGACCTACCTTGGTCGCCAGGATATGGCTCTTCATCTTCCAATGGAGTGTGGATTCATTTCTGGGGATTGTTAGGGTTTAATTTATTGCAGGTATCTGGCATCTATCAAGCTGTATAATATTCTGCCAATTCTCTGTGGGCCACCTGTTCCTATAGTTTTTGAGGTGGACAGCCATGGGCTAGAAATCTCCTTTTCCTCAGGCAGTGTGGTCTGTGGGCTTCTGTGTGTGCCTTGGTCTGGGTGTACTCAGCAATATCCTGTCCCATTGTGCCCGCTTCACTCTCTCTCGGGGTCGATCCTTGATTTGAGCAACCGTCAGTATGGTGTTTTCCCCTCCTTTTGAACCCCTGAAGAAGCCAACTCGGAAAAATGCATTGGGATTTACCATCATATCACCTTCCTAAATTCATATCATATTTATCAGTGACCTTTTGGTCATGGTTGGTTATTGTTACAAGAGGGAAGGTGTGAAATGGGGTTCATTGTACTGAAGGGTCCATGTTCTTACCTGTTTTTATGGGAGGGCGTGTATGTTCTAATTCACTATTTGTAATTAAACATAATACTTTTTATACATCCAATGTATCAAAGCTTCCTATACAAGCACCTTTTTTTGTGCATTAATTATTTGGACGTGGTGTTGCTGGATCATACATGCCAACTGTGAATATATACGTATATGACTGATATGCATTGATGCCTATATGTGCCTATATATTGTCCAACACAATATTGCTTTCAATATCATAGAACACTAAGCCCCGATTCACACCTGAGCGATATAAAGTACGTTTCCAGAAGGATTCAATGGTCAATAGCAGATTTCCATGTTATTCTATTGTACCTGTTCACATTTGAGATGTTTCTCAATGCTCAGAAAATGAACAGAAGCTCTTTTGGACCATGATTGTGCATTTTTTGGCCCCAATAGAGTTCATTGGAAGCTCTTGAAAAAACGTGTGTAGTTCACAGTTTTCATTAGACAGTGTAGATGGTTGTTAGGTGAAAAATCTAATATCTAACTTTCTAGTGGCTGAAAGGTTGAAAAGGAACATAAGGATGCCCCATCGTTTGATGGAAATTAAAATTATTAACCTACAGAAGACTGAATTCAAAGCCCCCCCCGAAAATCAAAGTGAAAAAATTATGCAACAGGGTAGTCCATTTTGCTGAAATTTCATTGCATTCAACTCCAAAATGGTACTCGGTAGTTTGTATGGCCCCCACGGGCTTGTATGCTTGCCTGACAATGTTGGGGCATGCTCCTAATTGGATTCAATGGAATCAACTCCTTAATACTCCAGGAACTGCCTGCATACTCTCGCCACATGAGAACAGGTATTGTTGTTCACCAGGAGGAACACTGGACCAGCGTAGGGTCTGACAATAGGTCCAAAGATTTCATCCCGATACCTAATGTCAGTCAGGGTGCCATTGTCTAGCCTGTAGAGGTCTGTGCGTCCCTCCATGATTATGCCTCCCCAGACCGTCACTGACCCACCACCAAAACGGTCATGCTGAATGATGTTACAGGCACCATAACATTCTCCACTGCTTCTCCAGACCCTTTCATGTTTGTCACATGTGCTCAGGGTTAAGCTGCTCTCATTTGTGAAAAGCATAGGGCGACAGTGGCTGACCAGCCAATTCTTGTGTTCAATGGCAAATGCCAATTGATCTCTATGGTGCCTGGCAGAGAACACAGGGCCCACTAAAGGACGTTGGGCCCTCAGGCCACCCTCATGAAGTCTGTTTCTGATTGTTTGGTCAGAGACATTCACACCAGTGGCCTGTTGGAGGTCATTTTATTGGGCTCTGGCAGTGCTCATCCCTGTTCCTCCTTCTACAGCCCTGTCCAGCTCTCCTAGAGTAACTGCCTGTCTCCTGGAATCACCTCCATGCTCTTGAGACTGGGTGCTGGGAGACACAGCAAAGCTTCTGGCAATGGCAAGTATTGATGTGTCATTATGGAGGAGTTGGACTGCCTGTGTAACCTCTGTAGGGTCCAGGTATCACCTATGTTACCAGTAGTAACACTGACCCTAGCCAAATACAAAACTAGTGAAAAACCGTCAGAAAATATGAGTATGGAAAAAATGTTAGTGGCCTCCACCTGTAAAACCATTCCTGTTTTGGGGGTTGTCTCATTGTTACCCATCTAGTGCACCTGTTGTAACCTCTGTAGGGTCCAGGTATCGCCTCATGCTACCAGTTGTAACACTGACCCTAGCCAAATACAAAACTAGTGAAAAACAGTCAGAAAATATGAGTATGGAAAAAATGTTAGTGGCCTCCACCTGTAAAGCCATTCCTGTTTTGGGGGTCGTCTCATTGTTGCCCATCTAGTGCACCTGTTGTTCATTTCATTAACACCAAAGCAGCTTAAACTGATTAAAAACCCCCTCTGCTACTTAACTGACCAGATCAATATCCCAAGAATTTAATTGACTTGATGCTATACTCTAATTAAAAAGTGTTCCTTTAATTCTTTTTGAGCAGTGTATGATCAAAGATGCTGACGCACAAGGGTGAATACAGCCTAAATACCTTGTTCATGAAATTGGAGACTAAATGTTTATTTCACATTATAAATATTGCTTGTTCATAAATATTGAATTCAAAAGCCACAACAGATGATAAGAATTGAGAAAAAAGAGGCATTTTACTGCAAAGGTTGTCAACATTAGCATTCATGGGTTTTTGCAGACAAATATACAGTTTGTTATATAGGCACACAATGGCCAAAGCTCTGGTTCGAATCCAGTCAGAAGTCACTTCTCAGTAGTCTGTCAATGCCGAGGTACCGGAAATTGAAATCTGGTTGCCAAGGGTTTGCTATATGCCACTGCTAATTAAACATAATTGAACAATGTCACTAAAGGACATAATATTCCTTTACCCAAAGCTGTCAATAGCATATTATGTTTGTTATAATAAAGTTAACGCCTATAATTATTTTAGCCCATACAAATTTTGTCAATCATATGGACTCGTGCCTGCTTTAGAAGCTCTTGAGAAAACATTAGTTGTGGCCACACAACACTCAGCGTAATGACATCCTGCCTCTTTACTCAAGAAGATACACAGCTAACAGCTTGGCCTGTCAAGTGGCTCTGTAGCGGCTACTGACTTTCCATTAGAATGAAGAGACCACTGTGTTTCCCAGCTCTGCCTATAGGCACCATGAATGTGAAGGCCAATTTGCTTCCAAACCAAGCAGCCGCAAATTGCCCCGTTATATAAATTCTCGCTTACTGTATTCAACCCAGAAAAAACCCTTTCTATAATAAGAGTACAAAATGCAATTGTTTATATAACACAAAAAAACAACCAGAAATCAACTTTTAGAGGTTTACAGTGGACAGTCTATTACTCAAATTCCCAATTGATTTCATGGGTTGCTGTGTGAAAACATTAAATTATAAAATCTGCAATTACTAGCTAAATCTTACACAGGGGTTTTTATTTTAAAAGTGTAATTTCCAAGCATTACCCATATTTACTCAAACTTCCATTTGATGATGTAGAATTTCCTCCAGAATTAAATCTCTCATGATATATACAAAATACAAATGGAGAAACAGAAAAAGGGCGCACCGATCTTGTGCATTATCGTTTAAAATAATTTATTAAAGAAACAAAAATAGGTATCATACTCACAATGGACATAATAACACAGGCATGTCAAACCGAACAAGATGTATGATCCAAACAACATCTGAGTCCATACGATGGAACCCTGGATGACCAACTGGCTAACACATTCCTATTGGGTCTACTGAGTCCTTTCCTAGTGCAGGAGTAAAGTGTTTGTTGTGTTGGATATACAAAATGCAGTTCTTCAACCTCCTTCTACACATATACTGTATGTGCTCTGGCATGGACTGCAAACTGTAGGGAAACTGAAGATACAAAGAATGACGGAACTACAGTGAGATGCAGTTAAAAATCCATTTTATTTGGGCAACGGTGAACACAGCAAACAATGGTGAACACATTTCTGCCTGGGCAGCCTTGAGTAGGGATGCCTAGGCAGAAACGTGTTGACTGATTTGTGCTGTGTTTACCATTTCCCAAATAAAATGGATTTTTAACCACTTGCCCTCCAGAGGCTTTACCCTCCCTTCCTGACCAGGCCATTTTTTGCGTTATGGCGCTGAGTTACTTTAACTGACAATTGTGCGGTCATGCAACGCTGCACCCAAATGAAATTTACGTCCTTTTTTCCCACAAATAGAGCTTTCTTTTGGTGGTATTTGATTTTTTATTTTTTGCACTATTAACAAAAAAAAAACAACAATTTTGGGGGGAAAAATATTTTTGACTTTTTGCTATTAAATATGTCCAACAAAAAAATTAAAAAAATTAAATTTCATCATAAATTTAGGGCAAAATGTATTCTGCTATATGTCTTTGCTAAAAAAAAAAATCCCAATACGTGTAAATGCATTGGTTTATGTGAAAGTTATAACATTTTTAAATGGCAGTGTATATATACTAGAATTTTTTTTTTTGGTACTAGTAATGGTGGCGATCAGCAACTTATAGCGGGACTGTGGCGGGCATTCTGACACTGGGAGGGGACTGACTTGGTGCCACTGACATCCCCAGTGACACCAATACAGTGATCAGTGCTAATAAAAAGCACTGACACTGTACTAATGGCACTGGGCAGGAAGGGGTTAACATGTGGGGCGATCAAAGGGTTAACTGTGTGCTGTTTCACTTTGTGTGTGTGTGTGTGTGTGTGTGTGTGTGTGTGTGCTTTCACCTGTAAGCACACTGCTTTGTATGGCTCTGCTATGCAGAGCCATACAAAACAGTGTGCAAGAACTGACAGGGAAGAGAAGTGTATTATTTACATACAGTTTTCTTCCCCGTCAGTAATACTTGGTGATCACCATGTACAGGTGAGTAATCACAGGAAGGGGTTAACATGTGGGGCAATCAAAGGGTTAACTGGGTGCTGTTTCACTGTGTGTGTGTGTGCTTTCACCTGTAAGCACACTGATTTGTATGGCTCTGCTATGCAGAGCCATACAAAACAGTGTGCAAGAACTGACAGGGAAGAGAAGTGTATTGTTTACATACAGTTTTCTTCCCCGTCAGTAATACTTGGTGATCACCAGGTGCCGGTGAGTAATCACAGGCCGGGACCCTGTGATCGGCAGCCGAGGCCGCAAATGGCAACGCGGGTAGGGCACACGCCTCCTACCCAGAACTGCAAAATCACGTATCACAGTCTTTGTATCTACATCTCTCATGAGCCTACACACAGTGTAAAGGCAGTCTTTTGGGAGTCAAGACAGCAGCATTGTTTTGTTTTGTTCTGTAATCCAGCGGGCAGGGCTGGCAATGCTGGCTGGGATTTCAGTGCAGAAAAGGCACTCATGCTATCTCAAATAGGAAGCTAGCTACACACTGGATTTCTAGCAGACCAATATCTATTTTTCTGTACATACATTGCTTGTATTTTTAAAGGGATAAAACATAAGAAAAGTGCATGTATTGAATGTGCTCAGTAGGAGTAAGAACATATTTATAAAACTGTGAAGCTGACATTCACCAAACATTAAACGCAATTGAATCTTCAAGGTGCATGTGTTTTTAAATGTCAATATTTCATTCACCACCAGGTAATCTTTGATGAAAGTCACATTTACTGATTTATAATAACGTCATACACGTGTAGAGTTTCCTACGAGAATATTCGTACGAAACGTCGTATGAAAATTCTTTGAACATTCGGTGAATGGACGAATGTCATTCGAAAACTGTCATTTGCTTTTAACATTCGAATTTAAAATGAATGTAATTTCTGAGCGATCACCACATATACTGGCCGAAAATTTGTTTGATTGAGAAAAGCTTTTCTTCCTGCCCCTTTGAATTTTCCCATCACTGCTGTTGAAAACAAAAATCGATTTGACCCCATTAACGATTAGAAAATCAAGCGAATATTCTTGAAACAAAAATTTTCGAACGAACATCTATGTGTATGGCCGCCTTAAGAGTCAATATCGTTAAATTGTTTTTTTTTTAGCTAAACTATTTAAGTGAATTAATAATAGTGTGCCATGTTCTTATTGATACAGCCCAAAACACTAGTGAAAGACTTATTGCCCATGAAAAGAAGGCCACAAAAGTTCAGCTTTCTGCTGTAATACCAGGTTGCATGCCTATCAGTGCAGGGTGCTTTAGCAGAAGAGCCCAGAAATAAATGGAGTGTTCTGCACCACCAGTGACATAAATGATAGTGAAAGATACAAAGCTAAATCTAAAGATACCATCACTGATTAAGAAATAACAATACATCTTTTCTTATTCCCCACTTTATTAAAAAATGCTTTGTTCCAATCTGCTTTCATGACCAGAGGTCTTCAAAGCTTAGATACCCAGACCAAATTTAGCAGCATCAGTATGCAGCAGTCAACTTGACTATAACTCTATGACTAGTTTCTAGGTTTGACAGCTGGGTCCAACAAATAGAATTGTGCAGAGGCTGTAAAGTTAATTACGTTCTCACAGTATGGCACTGTTCAAGAGAACTTAAAAAGTTGCATTGCAGTCAGGAAGGGATTTTTAAAGGTTAGCTGTAATAAAAATGCAAACCCTAGAGTTAGCCACAGCCAGATCGAAATTCGACCAGTTCAGCAGGTACCTGCTGAATTTTGATCAGTGTGTGGCTCACCATGTTTTACAGAAGTCAAATGTTAGATTGACTTCTGTGGAACAAACAAGTTGGAAAACCTTTTGGCGGCTTCTGTTACTGTTTATCCCCTTGACACTGACATAACACAAATATGCGGCCTCACAGAACTGGGCTTTTTTTCCATGGGGCAGTATATTTGCGTACCTGTCTTTCTGCTGGGAAAGCACCGCACGGTGCGCTCCCAGCACAGACTGCGGTGTCTCTGAGAGACCTGGGTCTCATTCTAACGATTGGGACCCCCGATTCCAGGTCACATGATCTCTGTGATAGCCTCTGATTGGCTATCACAGTGATCAGTCACTGTACAGCCCGGCCCCCTTGTGGTGTTTT